CTGCTGCTGCTGGTAACCACTGACTAATCACGAACCACAAACTACTAACTTCTACGGCCTACTCACTGCTAAGTACGAACTACTCGTGACTACCTACCAACTACCTGATATGAGCCCAAGAAGAACATGGAATTTTCGGTTCCCTGAAGCTGTGGAAGTAGTGACCTCCATGGCTGACAGAGTACGTGAACGGTTTTGGTGGTTCTGTCATTAGGCTTTTATCGGGCTTTAGGGTTCCTTTCAGGGTCTATTTAATACTTTAATTAAGTGCTTCTACTAGGGATCGATCAAGGTTTCGGGATCTAGGATAATTTAACTGTTAGGGCTAGGGCTAAGGGCTTACAAGACCAGGAGTCTGAGGTTTCGGATTTGGGAGGTCTAGGGTTTCGGGACTTAGGATTGAGTAGCAGGTCGCGATCCTCGACACTGTAGATGAAGAGAGTCCAACCGAAACCCATGATACTCTGCTAGAGTCTACCTGGCACTAACAGGGGCCGTAGGGCTTGGGGGTATACTATACTCTATAACTATATTTTAAAAACGTAATTCCAACAGGAGATCATGCTCCAAAACTCTACGGGTATGCCATTGTTTCCGCATCATCTCCGTGATCAGAAACAACCATACAGTAAATCTCACAGGGGGCGCCCGATGAATAGCCCTTATCCCTACTTCCCAACTCTGAGGGATTAGGGTTCTGGAGCCCTGGAAACCAAGCAGTCCAGTGCTGGTCGTCATTTAGGGGCCGAGGTCGACTTCACTCAGAATCACAGACTACCAATAGTCTCCATTGTAGTTGCTTTTTTTGGTTTAACCAATTATATATTCAGGATTTTATGAGGTATCCCCAAAAAGGAACTACAATGGAGACTACTACCAGACGACAGTTTCTTTCTTCAGGGGTCGTAGGTGTGCATGGCCTATACAAGGAGGGTGGCTTCGGAATGAAAATGTCAAGGTCTGAGGTTCAGACTATGAGACGGCTTATTGATTTGATTCAACACGTCGACATGTTTCCTAAACCCTACACCCGAAACCGCTGCGGGGTTACCAGTGATGCTACCAACGGAGTGGGGTCAGAGCCGTAAACTCTGCATGCAGCACAGTTCTGGACCCGCCCCGCCCCCCGCATGATATGTATGTATATATATATATATACATATATACATACATATATGTACATTTATATGTTTCTGTCTGTAATAGATGAATACATATTTACAAACACACATATAAGCATATGTGCTTGTGCAAGTATAAGCACACACACATGCATGCAGACATACAAACACACACACACACAACACACACACACACACAACACACACACACACAGACACACAGACGGACGGGCGGAAGGACAGACAGGGACATAGACACACACACACACACACCTACACCTACCTGCCTGCGTACGTACATGTATAATACAATACGCCTGACATCGTAATTCATCCCGTATGACATATCTTTAAATCTCCAGAAAAACCCAGAAAGCTGCGAGGTTCAATCGCTGTCATAAACTTCAAGGCCACCTTCGTGCCGTCCTGGGAGCGCCATGGGAGAAAGCCAAACCGTTTCGCGGAATAGGGATAGGGTTTGTCTAAGGGATTAGGGGTTTGGTGCTTATAGGGTGGTAGAGGTTTGCGTCAGAGCACCTCCCAACATGCATGTGAGGTCTGCATCTCCAAGCCGTAGTCAGGACCTAGCTTGAGGTTCAGGGCGTGGTGCCCTCGAGATCTGAAGAAGAGGGCTCAGGTTGGAGGGTCGAATGCACAACCGCCGACGGTAATCCAAAGGCTATGCTTCAAGGTTCAGACTCTCGCGACTCTTTCGACTCTCACTCAAGCACAAAGCAGGCAAGGCTCCGCATAGTCCCGTCACGCAAGTCGACAACTCAGCCGAACAAACCAACACTTAATCCAAAGGTCCTGAGAAAGAATACTCGAAGATAGCTTCAGGGCTTAGGGTTGGCTGAAGCCCGAACCCTAAACCCGGAAGGCTTAAGTTTTGGGTGCAGGAATCTCAAGAAACCCCCACACACCCAAACGCCCAACATAGAGGCCTCAGAAATTGGACTAGTGACTCGGATTTGTGGGCTGTGTTTGCGCATATATATATATATATATATTATGTATATTTATGTATATATATATATGTATATATATATATAATGTATATATATATATGTATCATATAGCTAGAAGAAAGAACCCTCCTCTATCTGGTGGGCTTGGCATGCCCTACAAAGCCCGCAATCCCCACAAACCCTAAACTCCCAAAGGCCCAAAAAACCCTAAAGCCTTAACCCCAGGAGTCCTCCTTCTTCTCAGCTTGGTAGACTTGCCCGCTAGATCCGTGCCCAATCCTCTCAATGATCTGGTACCTCATCGGTGATGGGTTCAGGGTTCCTGCTAAAGGGCATAAACAAGGTTCTTTTACAGGGTTCTGTAAGGGTGCTATAGTAGAGGAGTCTGACCAGCAAGAAGTGCTAGCCCCTTGCTTCCGAATAGTGATACTAGAGTATCTCCCAAGGGCCCATTCGGGTAGTTCTCTAAATTAGGATCCCTTTTAGGGTCCTTTTTATAAGGGTGCCGTACTATATTGGGGACCTAAAAAGGGACAACCCTAAACCCTAAACCCTAAACCCTAATTTAGAGAACTACCCATTCCTATCAATGCCCCTGTATCGGGATTTAGGTCCCGTGTCCGATCGATGCCCTACCGGAAGCCTTTCGGTTTAGGGCTTAGGGTTTTAGGGTTTAGGGTTTAGGGTTTTAGGGTTTAGGGTTTAGGGTTTAGGGTTTAGGGTTTAGGGTTTTAGGGTTTAGGGTTTAGGGCCTCAGTCATTAGAACTGAGAGGGGGGTATGTTTTTGTTATACGAGGAAGGGGCCAAGATGGGATATTATCCTTGGGGGCTGAGTACCTTGGTCCAACAGTTTTGAAGTATAGAAGGATTGGACAAGCCCCAACAGGTATAAGGTTACCTACTCAGCCCCTAAGTATTACGGCTGCAGGTTGCGGACCTTTCAGGATCGCCATGCCTCACACTAGCTGCCCGGGAAGGGCGACTAAACCGATGGCCCAGCGATGGCAAGACCCTCGGCAGGCAGAGAAGCTAGACTCTGAACAGTTTCGGGTTTACCTGTAGTCTCCATTGTAGTTCCTTTTTGGGGCTACCTTTTAGGATCCTTAATATAGAATTGGTTAAACCAAAAAAAGGAACCACAATGGAGACTATAGGTAGGGTTGAGGCTAAATCGGGTTTAGGGTTTCGGGTTTAGGGTCCGCGGCCTGGCCGAGACCTCAGGCGCAAACCCCAAAGCGCTAGTTGGAGACAATTCCTCGAAGGGCCGGCAATGACTGCGGAGACTCCGAGAGATATCTCTTTACCTGCTAGGCCCGACAGACTATAGGCCCTTGTAGGATTTTAGTAGGTTGAGATAGCAATGCCGAGGGTTCGGGACTTAAACGTCAGAAACCAACATCAAAGATCCAGAAGCCACTCATCAACCGCATTCCATCCCAAACCCGACAAACTTTAAAACCCCTTACAAATTGCCAGTTGTTGGTTGCTGAGACTTGGAACGTCTGACATATCTTAAGGTGCCCTTAGGTTGGGACTGTTTGCGGGAAAGGTTGTATCCCATGCTGCGACTTCACTTGGTGGAATTATGGCAGCCTCAAGCAACCTTGAGCATGGATGCGTCACAGCGATCCGCAGAATAATGTTCTACCGCCCAAATCGCAGAACTGCAGCTCCAGAACAGCAAAACAAATGGCTCCTTCAACACAACGCACAAGAGAAAACTCTCAACAACAACTAAGTAGCAGGTAGGATAAACTCAACTCTTTGGTCGTTGGAGATTTTGGGGATACCCTGAACCCTATAAACCCTATACGCCCTACTTTAAACCCATAAACCCGAAAGCCGGGGGGCTTCTTCAAAGCGTCGCAATCCTCCTCAATCCTTGGATTCTCATCGTTCGGAGTGGAATGGCGCTTCAAGGGTTTAGGGTTTCCCCTAAAGCTCAACATGGGCCCAAAAGCCTTCCTTACATAGCATGGTCTTTGGGCCCCAAAGCCTCAACATATGAGTCCTTACAGCCTTAGGGGTTCGGGTTTCAGGGTATCCTGCGACGGCCGCCCTTGGTGCAGCAGGGCAACGAGTAAATTAGATAATCTGGGAAGGGTTGAAGGGTCCGCGTCTGATCGGGTTTCGGGCTTCTAAACACAAGCCTAATGTAGGGGCCTTAATATTTAGAAAAGGGTTTTGGGGTATAATGCACTATAGTTATTATAAGGAACCCAACTAGTCTAGGTAATTACATTGCCCGAGTAAGTAAACTGCCAGATTGCGGTATGCAGTCTAACGAAGGCCTGCAAACATGCATTACTGTATAAACCCAGTCTGCATCCTAAAATCGCAAATCGCACAGTCCAAGCCCATGCTGAGCAAGTTTAAGCTTCTGGCTTTAGGCAGCAGTGCTTTTTTAAAAATTTGTTCGGTGTTCCTTGAAAAGGGAGGCGTCCCTAGTAATCTCGGACAGAGGTTTTTATTTATCTCGATGTGGAGTGCCGGGCACTCCCTTCCACCTGAAACCCTAAACCCCGAACCCAAAGCCCTAAACCCTAAACCCTAAACCCTAAACTGCCAAGGGTCGCGTTCGACTTCTCCGGGCCCCAAGTCCTCAGTTCATTTTAGGAGCCTCAACCCTACCTAGAGGGATTAGGGTTTAGGGGTTTAGGGTTTAGGGTTTGGGGTTTAGGGTTTAGGGTTTAGGGGTTAGGATTTAGGGCTTAGGGTTTAGGGTTTAGGATTTAGGGTTTAGGGTTTAGGGTTTAGGGGTAGGAGGGGTTCGAGAAGGGGATCGCTCTGGGGCTTCTAGGACGGCTCATGGCTGAGGGTCTAGGGTT